GGCATTTAAAGGGACCACGTTCCCCGCCGGCCTCCAAAGGGAAGTGTATCAGAGGCGATGTGCGCACAGTAGGTCCCCCACGGCGGCTGGTGGTTGTGAGCAACAAGCACATCTCCGGTGAAACTTCCGGTGACCGTATGTCCCACTGAGCCAGAATGGCCCCGAAAATCATCGGCTTCCTGCTGCTGGCTTACCCCCCGGGGAGGAGGCCGAAGGTCGCCCACAAGCGGCACAGACCTGCTCGGCCGGGGAGGCAGCAACCACGAGCCAGCGCTCTTCAGAGGAAACAGCTCCCCACTGGCCTCTCGCCTCGTGTTCTAGAAATCCCTGGGTTTAACACCGGAATATTCCGGGCGCACTTTTGAAAACCTGATCTGAGGAGAGCTTAAGGAAAGGAAAGCGAAACTCCGCAGAACGCGCGCCGTCAGCCTTTCATAAAAGGTTCGCGCGGCGTAGGTCTCACCCGGGATTACCTCCCCGCCAGGTAACAGTGTTGGTTTGGAAAAGCATCACAGGACTGGAAGGCAGGAACAGGGCGCCTGCAGGGGGAGGTGCCTTGGGAAGAGGGTTGTGTCCTCGGAGGGGCCGGGAATGAGGCCTGCCGCTGGCATGCAGTATGAACTTCTCTCGACGCCTCTCCGTCCTGCAGATGCTGGGGTAGGTCTCGCACATGCTCCCCACGGCTAGCTCTGTGCAGAGGTCACGGTGACCTCTGTAAGTGACCTTCACGTAGGATAGTGGGCAGCTCTGTGGGGGGATCCCGACAGCTCCCTGCTCCGGAGGCTCGTGCACCCCTGGTTCCAGGGCTTTTCACAGAACCACCTCCCCTCTGTCTTCCCGCGAAGCCGCCTCCCGGCCCAGGAGGCCCTGGCTGGGCCGGTGCTTGAGAAGTGAGACGGGAATGCCGCCAGGACCCGGACAGAGCGCGATCGTCCACATGTGATCCCCTCTACCACTCCCTCACTTCCGTGGGCAAAGGTTCCCAGGTCCTTTTGCCGACAGACTACGCAGGCTTAGAAGAGGCTCCTGTGCCTCAGGGTTCGAGGACTCTGTGCTAGAGCGCTGCGGGTTTGTCCCTGCCAGGATGCCTTATCAGAGTCCTAATCTCGCAGCTGCTAGTTGTCCCAATTCCTGTTAAATTGGTTCAGGAAATCTGTCTCTGATCACGTGCAAGACCTGGAAACGGACAAACTTAACAAAAACATGCAGGATGCCCCCGGTACCCAAAACAGAAACTCCTATGGAAACTTTCAGGAGCCGAAATGCCACAGAAAATAACTACCACTCAGCCACGTGGAAAAGCGTCCCCAAATAATGTAGGAAACCACGCCAAACAGCACATCAGACCTACACCAACACTCACAGGGAGGGCAGAAGCGACATGAGGAGTTCTCGGCGGGCCGCTGACCTGCGCAGGCGCGGCTGCCGCAAAACCCACGCTGCACGTGATTTTCCCTTCTTGCCATTTTTTGGGTCAAATAAAAACTCTCTTCAGATGTCTTTCCATTAGTACCCGTTGATCCAGGTCTCTCGTCAACGCAAACTGGCGTCACATGGACTTCTGAGAAGTGGGGAACGGCATCTCGGAACATTTCGTTTTTGTTCAAGTGCCTCGCACTTTGCACGATGCCTGTTTGGCTGCACAAGAAGACGCTGTGGCGAATGCCACCCTGTCACACAGGGCCTCTGAGGACAACTCATGCTGATAAACGTGTAAAACCACCGGAATGAGGAGCCCCCCAGGAGCCCAGAATTTTCCGTTCTGATTGTGCGGCAGGTGGGGCTGGGGGGCCTGGGTGGGGGGCTGTAGGAGGAGGCCAGGTGGCTCCCGCTCTGGGGAGGGAGAGGGGCTCAGGGGCAGACAGAGTCCCAGCAGGTTGTGTAAACCTCAAATGGACGTGGACAATAGTGTGATGACTGCGGGGGTGGAGGGGGATGGGCGGAGGTGGAAGAGGGGATAGAGGGGATAAAGGGTGATGGAAAACATAAAATAAAAATGTTAAAAATTCTTTAAATATTAAAAAATAAATTAAAAACTAAGTACAAGACTGGGTTGCAAGATGTACACTTCCGAATAAAAGCTGTCGCCAAAAGCACTGAGATAATGTGAGGAAATGAGGAAAAAAAAATCCTTGAATTTCCAGATCTGCACCAACATTTACATTAAGGACAAAGGATTTAGGGTGGACACTGGGGGATCAGTTCCATGTTTCCGCTGAGTTTCTGCGTTTACCCAGGAGGACACGGGGCTCCTGCCTGGGAACTGGATGGTGGGGAACATCCCGCCCTCCCACACCGACCTCTTTCCAGCTAAGATAGAATTCGGTCTAAGAAAAGGACAGAGTGGGCACTTACGTATAACAGAAGCTCACACACTAGACCCCGTGATGGTTTTCCTGTTTAGTGGACAGATTTATCCGGACTTTGGGGCCATAACAATCTGTTACAAAAGGTAAAGATGCAGAGGAGGCTGCGAGTGGAGGATGCGCAGTTACCCGGGGAGAGCACGGAACGTGAACTTGGAAACTGTTTCCACAGGGACTGAGGTGCTCCCTCCAAACACGGCAGCCTCCGGAGCCCTAATTAGCCGTTCTAATGAGTCTATTTGGAACCACGTCCTTCTGAATCGAACACAAGTGCATTTTTAAAGGCTGTAAGCCGTACCTTTAACTCTCTCTGGGCCTGTGTTCCCTCAGATTGAGTGAACGAGGCTTTAGAAAAAATGAGCATCAACGGAAAGCCCTTGAAGAGACGCCCAGCTGTGGCCCGCGGGCTGAAGGTACCTCAAGCCCCATACCGTTGACCCACACTGTTCAATCATTTTGGGGAAATGTGCCAACCTACAGTTTCCAGCTTTCTTGAAAAGCCCACAAATCCGCTTTCTCATGGCAATGACCAGCTGGACCTGAGCAGCGTGGGAACCCTCTGGGAGGAGACGAGCCGCTGCTGTGTGGCTTTGGACAAGTTACTCACCTGCTCTGAGCCCCTGCCCTGCCGACGCAGAATGCCAGCCATATCCTGTCCTGGGTGCTATGAGCCAAAACCCCGCGTCCGTCAAATAAAAACTCTCTTCAGATGTCTTTCCATTAGTACCCGTTGATCCAGGTCTCTCGTCAACGCAAACTGGCGTCACATGGACTTCTGAGAAGTGGGGAACGGCATCTCGGAACATTTCGTTTTTGTTCAAGTGCCTCGCACTTTGCACGATGCCTGTTTGGCTGCACAAGAAGACGCTGTGGCGAATGCCACCCTGTCACACAGGGCCTCTGAGGACAACTCATGCTGATAAACGTGTAAAACCACCGGAATGAGGAGCCCCCCAGGAGCCCAGAATTTTCCGTTCTGATTGTGCGGCAGGTGGGGCTGGGGGGCCTGGGTGGGGGGCTGTAGGAGGAGGCCAGGTGGCTCCCGCTCTGGGGAGGGAGAGGGGCTCAGGGGCAGACAGAGTCCCCGCAGGTTGTGTAAACCTCAAATGGACGTGGACAATAGTGTGGTGACTGCGGGGGTGGAGGGGGATGGGCAGAGGTGGAAGAGGGTATAGAGGGGATAAAGGGTGATGGAAAACATAAAATAAAAATGTTAAAAATTCTTTAAATATTAAAAAAATAAATTAAAAACTAAGTACAAGACTGGGTTGCAAGGTGCACAACACTTTGAATAAAAGCTGTCGCCAAAAGCATTGAGATAATGTGAGGAAACGAGGGGAAAAAAATCCTTGAATCTCCAGATCTGCACCAACATTTACATTAAGCAGCGTGGGAACCCTCTGGGAGAAGACAAGCCGCACAAGTTACCTTACCTGCTCTGAGCCCCGCCCTGCCGACGCAGAATGCCAGCCATATCCTGTCCTGGGTGCTATGAGCCAAAACCCCGCGTCCGGCTGAAAAACGGCACCTACTACATCAAGACGGGGCAACCTGTCCCAGCAAACCCACCTCTCCATGTCCTGGGGGACACTCAGCCCTGGGGACGGAATCCCTTCTACGTTTCTATGTCCTTCACTCGCAGCTCAGTGATGTCACTGGGAGCACTGGGGGGTGGGGAGTGGCACGGTCAACCAATACCGACTCAAACACATTTCCATCAAGTTTATCAGCAAAGCTCTCAGCGTCTCCTCAACTCAGTACTAAGACGAGGTAAGTAAAGGGCCATCTTTAGTAACACAGACATGAAGCATCTCCGACACATCAGTAGGTATTGGACGAGTCAACCAATGAATGAATAAAACGATGGATGGATAAATAAAGAAAAAAGGCCTGGCCGGCGTGGCTCAGTGGTTGAGTGTCGACCTACGACCCGGGAGGTCACGGTTCGGTGCCTGGCCAGGGCACATGCCCGGGCTGCGGCTCATGTGTGGATGCGGTAACGGCACACAGGCGACGGCCCTGCCCAGAAAGGGACCCGGTAAAGAGCAAAAGCGGGTGCGTCTTACCTCCAGCGTGAGGCGGGGGGCCGCACAGCAGGACCACGCCCTGGCCTTCGCGCACCGACACCGCGCTTCGCATTCTGGTTTTAAAGTTTTCCAGATCTGATTTGAAAACAAAACAAAACAAAAAACAGCACTTCAGAAAGAACGAAATCAAAATGTCCGCACAGTGACCTCCTTTCTTTCTTAGGGTGACATTTAAAACCAATACCGACCCGATAATCCTGTGTTTCTATAATCAGACATAGCAGGGCTGCCCCAAAGGGCAAACAGAGCAGGTGTGAGCATTAAATCACCGGGAAAGGGGACCCAAAGGAGGAAACGAAACATCTGCAACCAAGGACGAGTCAACCAATGAATGAATAAAACGATGGATGGATAAATAAAGAAAAAAGGCCTGGCCGGTGTGGCTCAGTGGTTGAGCGTCGACCTACGAACCGGGAGGTCACGGTTCGGTGCCTGGCCAGGGCACATGCCCGGGTTGCGGCTCATGTGTGGATGCAGTAATGGCACACAGGCGGCGGGCCCTGCCCAGAAAGGGACCCGATAAAGAGCAAAAGCGGGTGCGTCTTACCTCCAGCGTGAGGCGGGGGGCCGCACAGCAAGACCACGCCCTGGCCTTCGCGCACCGACACCGCACTTCGCATTCTGGTTTTAAAGTTTTCGAGATCTGTTTTGAAAACAAAACAAAACAGCACTTCAGAAAGAACGAAATCAAAATGTCCTCGCAGTGACCTCCTTTCTTTCGTAGGGTGACATTTAAAACCAATACCGACCCGCTAATCCTGTGTTTCTATAATCGCGTCAGACATAGCAGGGCTGCCCCAAAGGGCAAACGGAGCAGGTGTGAGCATTAAATCACTGGAAAAGGGGACCCAAAGGAGGAAACAAAACATCTGCAACCAGGTATCTACATGGCCTGGTCCCCACACCGGTCACAGCGATTCACCAAATCACGACCACCTTTAGCTTCTCCTGGCAATGAGCCAACTCTTCATACAGTTTCCCGCTAAGATGTGTCATCATCAGGAGCACAAATGAATGTCATTCCACCTGTGACTGGTGGTGCTATTTATACACAGCGTTGAAAATATTCCACTCGTGGTTACGAGTCTTCTCAGCCCCACGTCTTGGGGAATTCTGTGGGGGTGATTCCCAGGCAGTTACCGAGTGGGGGGAGTTCGCAGGAGAGCAGTGAATTACCTCACACAGTCCCCTTGACTGGCAGCTCTGAAAAAACAGAAGCTGTCTTTATTATCGTCCAAGGAATGTTCTTCCGGTGGGTCATGAAGCCATCGAGGCAAATGCTATTTTGATCGCCTTAGTGGGTTATTTTTAAAACATTTAATTTCCTCCAAGAACAATCAGGACAGCAAATCCCGACTCACACCCTCCAGCTTAAACTGCACGGAGAAAATCCTACTGGTTTTATTTTGAGCAAAGCTGAGGCCGATGGGGGGAAGGGAAGAAAAATAATTTACCCCTTCGCGAAAGTCTCACTAAAAAGGAGGTGACTTCTACGGGCACAGTCGACGGTGTCACATTCCGTATCCAGGCGACTGCACTGTTGATTTGTGGGAAAATACACCCGTTTCACGGCTCCTGACGGTGGAGGCAGACCGTCCACGCGGCGACTAGGCAAAGGAGGCAGTGCGTGTATTTGAGGGGGTAACTTAGAACCCGTATCCAGGCGACTGCACTGTTGATTTGTGGGAAAACACACCCGCAGACCGTCCACGCGGCGACTATGCAAAGGTGGCAGTGCGTGTATTTGAGGGGGTAACTTAGAAAATTTCAACTCTGCCTTGAAAAATGTAAAAGGCAAAATAATTATCTTTGAATTGGTGAAACTACAAACTGTATACTAGTACATGTTGACTGTTCTACACACTTTAAATCTGTACATCAGCCCTGGCCTGTGAATCTCAGTGGTTAGAGCATCGGCCTGGGCACCAAAAGGTTGTGGGTTCGATTCCCAGTCAAGGGCATGTGCCTGGGTTGCAGTTTGCTCCCCAGCCCCAGTCAGGGGGCATGCGGGAGGCAACCAGTTGATGTGTCTCTCTCACCTCAATGTTTTTTCTCTCTCTCTTTCCCTCCCTTCCACTCTCTTAAAAGCAATGAAAGAAATATCCTCAGGTGAGGGTTAATAAAAAATTAATTGGTACATCCGAGGGAAATGAGAGTAGTACTTCATTTCATTATCCCTGAACGAGTATTACATTGCTGGTTTCAAGCACGGGCAAAGCAAATCAGCGAAGCTCACATAGACGTGGCTATAAAAGGAGCCAGAATGTGTTCTGGACTTACTGTAACCAGAGGTCCCCTGCAAAAATGATACGATAACCGAGCATTACGTCCCCTTAAATGTGTGAGTAAAGTGCAGTATTATCACAGCGCAAGGCTCCTGAAATGCAGCTCGGTTAGCACTGCCAAATCGCACCCTCCGACGGGTCCAGGCTAAGATGGGGTAGGGGAGGGGGTGGGGATAGGGGGCGGCATACCAGGATGAGCCCACACGTGGACAACAACCAAATGGTGCCTTTCTGACCACCTATGGGTGTCAGCCTTGCTGCTCTCCTGCCCAATTCCTGTTCCGGCGGTTACATAACTTCACACTGTGGAAGGGAGTCATCACTGATTTCGGCCAGAATACGCAAAAAGGATGAAATAGTTCTAGAACAATCGCGTCTCCTCTCCCTGAAAGGTAAGAACCTTTTTCCCCGAAGCACCAGTCAGTCCTGCCGGGCACAGGTGTGATCACTGCTCAGGATGCTGCGTTGGTGCTGCCTCTACAGCCTGTGAGGACAGGGGCATTATCTGTGGGGTCCGACATGGCTGGTTCATGAAGTACACGCTTCCACATGCACCCACACACATCCACATGCACCCACACACATCCACATGCATCCACACACATCCACGCAGCAAGAAGGACGGTGACGGCTTCAACATGCTGCCTATGGCTCTGCTCCTGGATTCTTAGTTGATGTCATCCATGGTGTGGTCCAGGGCCCCGGCCTTGTTACCGCCTGGGAGTCTCATTGCAAATGCGGATATCTGTAGACCACCTGTGCACCAGGCTGCATCAGAAATATTTTTTATTAGAATACGCAAAAAGGATGAAATAGTTCTAGAACAATCGTGTCTCCTCTCCCTGAAAGTAAGAACCTTTTTCCCGCAGCACCAGTCAGTCCTGCTGGGCACAGGTGTGACCACTGCTCAGGATGCTGCATTGGTGCTGCCTCTACAGCCTGTGAAGACAGGGGCATTATCTGTGGGGCCCAAAGTGGCTGGTTCACGGAGCACACGCTTCCACACGCACCCACATGCATCCACACATATCCACATGCATCCACACATATCCACATGCATCCACACAGCAAGAAGTGGATGGTGATGGCTTCAACATGCTGCCTATGGCTCTGCTCCCAGATTCTTAGTTGATGTCACCCAGGGTGTGGTCCAGGGCCCCGGCCTCCTTACTGCCTGGGAGTCTCATTGCAAATGTAGGTAACTGTAGACCACCTGTGCACTAGGCTGCATCAGAAATATTTTTTATTATTTTTAAATTTTTTTTATTGATTTCAGAGAGGAAGGGAGGGCGAGAGAGATATAGAAACATCAACGATGAGAGAGAATCATGGATCAGCTGCCTCCTGCACGCCCCACACTGAGGATCAAGCCCACAACTCGGGCATGTGCCCTGACCGGGAATCAAACCGTGACCTCCTGGTTCATAAGTCGATGCTCA